ACACTGGTATAAACCTAATACCAATTCCAGGGTTGGTATCAATATTATTTATATTTGGATTGATCCACCAACTTCTATCATGCTCATGTTTTCTTCCATCAGTCATGTTGTGCTTTATGTTGTGGTAAGTTAGAGGAGGTAACACTAACTTTGCTGCACAAATTTCACTTTCACTCATAAAACTCATAGCATCAAAAATAACTCAAACACTGGTTATTATTTTTAACTTAAAAAACCCCCACAATTCTCCACTTTTCTGAAAACCCATCACATAAAAATCAAAATATAATCTGCTAAAATGTAGAAAACAAAGTTTCTTCTCTGACTTTGTGCCTGTTGGAGATCAGTTCATCTTCTGCTCACTGAACTGCTGTCAGAAACAGTAATTTTTAGTTTTTCCAAGTAAATGTAAGCTTCAAGCATCCATCTGTCCACACAGGCTGTGCTGTTTGACTTGCTGAGTTGAGTTACCTGGTGGGTGGAGCAGAGACCAGCATCACTCTGACTCTCACTCGGTTTGTGTGCTGTCCCTGGTTTGGCCCTTGTTGTGATGATGAAGTCCACTACAGATAAACAGGTCAACGTTTGCCAAACTTTTAAGGTGGGCAGGAAACTGAGAAAGTTCTAGAGTAAGATGGCTGACGTTTCAAACAGCTGTCAAAGGCACCATGTGGTAGTCATGATGACCTCTGTAAAGCTGCTTTGTGTATGTGAACTTTAGACAAAAGTCATGTTCACTTGTTGACCCTTGTAACTCTGAGTGAGGCTAGCCAATACCTAATGTACCTCATGCTCACTGTTCTTGGTGTGAGTCTGTAACTGTGCAGCTCGGCAGCCTGCAGGTTATGGGCTACTTGAAGGGTTCAGTTGTGCTGATTGCGTTTTGGTTTTTTGCGAGTTTTGAATTCTAGTTGGTGTTGTTTGCTGTAGTTGTTTTGAGCCCTACTGACCTATTGATACCATCTCTTGTTAGCGCAGTGTATTGTCTTGGTTTTTGGCTGGTATGTTTTTATGCCACTTGATTAAGGAGTCTTTGTTTTAAGTTGTTGTCCAGGTGATTGATTTGGACAGGTTTGTGAAAGATGCTGATACCAGTCAGGGCTCAAGAGTGCAACCAATTTGGTCACAAGTGAGCCCAAATTTTTTAATGGTGTGACTAAAAAAAATCCTAGCTCACACCAATGTGACCAACTTTTTGGTTGGTCACATTGGTGACGGCGTGTCCGTACACGGACACGCCGTCAGGGCTGAAAGCCGACAGCTCGCTGATTCTGATACGTCTGGTCTGCGCTTTTGTTTACGTCTTTTTTGCGCTAGATTCTGAGCTGCATGTTTTGTCTCTCACCAACCAAAATTCACTGACCAGCAGCAAAAGAAGATCAAAACTATGCTTCACATTTGATAAATATTGTCATGAATTCCCTCTGACTTCTGCTGTTTTCCACCATGATAAAATCACACTTCATGCACAGCTCTCTCTCTCTCTCTGTACTTCAAACACAGTTTCCCATCTCAAATCTCTGTTTTCAGCATTATTCATTTGCTTATTACCCACCAGTCTACCGTTGTTTACAGCCCTGTTGGCTGCTCTTTTTTCTTTTTTTTGTTTTTACTCAAATGACCTTGGAAAAGAGAGGCAAATTTTTGTTGTTTCAGTACTGAAGAAATTTAAACTTTTTAAAATTATGTAAAATTGGAGAATATATTTAAGTTTATCTGCTATAAAAAGCATGCAGGCCAGGAAAATCTCCTTTTTCTGTGTTTTATCCTTAGTTACTTTGACACAAAGGCATCTGCTGTGATGCTCACACCTTTGATGAAGTCTCACATGTATCAGTACTGATAAATGACCAGAATTATAATATTTCTGACTATCTGAGGAAAAATTGAATCGAATCGGGACCTTGTGAATCGGAACTGAATGGATTATAGAAATCAGTGATGATACCCAGTCCTAGTGAATAGCCTAGGCCCGACAGAAGTGGATGTAGCTGTGGGTAATAAGAAAAGGGGAAAAGAACTATTGATAAATTTTGTTAAGTTAAGGCCTGATCCATCTGAAATTCATAGCCAGTGCTCTGACACGGAACCATCAATCTGTTTGCTGCTGCCTGCTGCAGCAGTAACTTATCTCTCTTGTAGTATTGTGCTCCAAATAAAGAAGTTTGTGTTAACAAGATTGCTAGTTAATCATTTACAAATTAATAGTGTCTATAGAGACAGCAATCCCCCCCCCCAAAAAAAAGTGCACATGTAAAACTGCGGCTTTAAGCGATGCGGTTGAAAAATTTTGGTGCGCCTAAGAAAAAAAGTTAGGCGCACCAGTGCAACCGTGGCAAAAAGTTAGTTTAGAGCCCTGCCAGTATGGTGTTAGTTTTCAAACAAATTTAAGAAAAGAAGAACTGTGTGCTAAAGCCATGTCTGATTGAACAGGAAATACTGACTGAAGAGTTTGACTTTGCCTGTTGATAAAATGACTCAAACAGTGAAGGAGAAAAAAGAGGAACTGAAGAAAGTAAATGGCGCAGTGAAGGCAGCGCGGTGAGAAATCATATGCAAATAGTGTTGTCTCTCTGCACAATAAAGCAACGTGTAGAATAAGGAGGGGATGTTTTTCTCATTTTCATTCATTATTTTAATATGGCATCATTAGTTCATTAGAAGTATATAACCAGCTTTGCATTAAACATAAATTGAAGTTTTTGACCTTACATTATTCTTTGCATTACAGTGATGGTGATAACTTTAGTTTGATCTTTTCTTACAGGTACCAGAATAATAACATGATTTTCCATTGCAGATGTAACCATGATCATTCCATACACATTGCAGTTTGTTGCTTATTCTAGAGTTGTGCTCAAGTTGATTAAAGGTTAAAAGCTACAGCCAGCGGAGTCTGGCTGATCTATGGAGGGCAAAGGCTTTGAGCTTGGAAGGCCGCACGCGCTTACACAGCACTTATAAGATGTTATTCTTGGTGATTTTGTGCTTAGTCATGTTTAATATGTTTTAAGTAGAAGTAGCTGATCCAGCAATATTCATTTAATATTATATACTTGATTTAGAGCAATACACACTGATGGTCTTAACAAATGAAAGAGTCCTTGTAGCTGCCATGTTGTGTCTTAGCAGGGTACAGACGGTTCCAGGAGACGGGGGGCAGTCAGGTCTGCCCTCGGGAAGGAGACAATGTTATTCTTTGTGTTAAATAAAATTGTCAACATTGATTGTATTACACCTGTCACTACGCATGAAGGGGCGTTCTAATACCCTGATTTCATAAAACTATGATGATGTGTTTTTTGAGATGAGATCTGAGACTGTCTGCATACAGTGTCCATCTCCCACGTGTGTGATCATTAAATCATCGTTTGACTCAACCCGACCGGACCAGTGTTGTTATTGTGGGTTTTTCCTCTGGTGTCCATCCCCAATATTTTGAACCTTAACATTTTGGGGGCTCGTCCTGTGGTATTGGGGTGGATGTGCGAGGTGTGGACGGTCTGAGGTGGTCGAGCGGACAGGCACGGACCAGGGATCTGATGTGAGTGAGCTCCGCGGGTGCTTCTAAAGGTAAGGCACTGCCTGTTGAGTTGATTCCCAAATTGTGCCAAATTGGGCTGCATTAAATTAAAAGTTTACTCACTGACGTTGCTGGTGGGTGTCTGTTTTGATTTTGATGAGAATCACCGTGTGTTATGCAGTTAAAGTTGTTTAAGAATATTTAATGAAGTTGAAGAAATATGAACGTAATAATGTTGGGTTTGAGTCCCTGGATATCGAGTTAAAGGCTCAGGTAGTTTGGTAGGGAATTGGCTAGGTATATTTTAGAAATTTAGACCAGAAACTGTTCCAGAAGTAACAGAGGCTGGTATTGGCCGTAAAAAAGTTACCTTTCTTCGGTTGGACCCGTTATGGATACATTTTTCAAATTGTGTAGGTGAAAATTATTATAGGACGGCACCAGAAGTTGCTAAGAAGCGCATAGCCCGGAGGTTACGCTCCCTCCTGGCCGTGGATGCGCGGTCTTGACCTGTCGGCGAACAGGGTTAGTTCAGTTTGGCTTAACTGTGGGGTACAGGGCATCCCGGAATCAAGCTAGGAGTTAGAGTCTCCTCACCGTTTTAAATGATGTCATGTGCTTTTTTGGATACTGTTAAATTGAGTTAGGGACTTTAGAAATTAGGTCAGAAACTGTTCCAGAAGTAACAGATACTGTTTGATTGATTACAAAAAAGTTATCTTTCTTCGGTTGGACCCGTTATGGTTAAATTTGTGGAAATTGTGTAGGTGCTCTTTAGAAATTAGGTCAGAAACTGTTCCAGAAGTAACAGATACTGCTCAATTGGTCGTAAAAAAGTTATCTTTCTTCGGTGAGACCCGTTATATTAAATTTGTCGAAATTTGTTAGGTGCTGAATCTGTCAGGCCTGTCAGTGATTGTAAATATAAGACGTCTTTTGTAATATAAAATAATAGAATTTTGTCTGAGCTTTGTGTGACCCTGTGTGTGACGAGAGCGCAGCTGCAGCGCTGCGAGCTATTTTTAGACGGTGTGTGAACATGCAAATGAGCAGGTGGCAGGAAGGAGAACGGAGCTTCTTCACTTCCTGCCCAGAATGTGTGTGAGCCTTATAAGCAGAAGGCTTTTTATTGCTGAAATCCTGTAAATAAGCTGCTGGTTTTGATGTTATAACAATATAAATGGCTGCTAATTGAAAAAGAGTGGTTTTAATAATTTTCAGACACACCTTGCAAATGTGCTTATAATGAGTTGGCACTCGGCCTTTGAAGGTCAGAAGCTTCATTTGGCGTGACTGTCCGGATTGATAAAGTGTAGTAAATGCCTTGAGTGCAGAGAGCTAATTGCAAACAAGCTTACACACACATAGGTTATGATTAGAATAGGTCCCTAGAAGGCTTTTGAATGTTTTAAACCAAGTGTGGTTTAAAGTGTCACTAGAACCAAGTGTCACTAGAAGGTTATTAGTTAATCACAGTTGATTTATGTAATGTAAAAAGCATTTAAGACTGAGTAACTTCAGTTTTTGAGGATAAGAGAGTGTTCCTAGATCAGAGTAAGCTGCTGTAAGTCAATTGAAAACAATTTAATTAAATCTTAAATAATTTATACTGATAACACAACTGATTTTAAGCCATACCTTTAAATAACCAAAGTTAATGAAGTTTTCTGAGCTGCCATGACACAGAGAAAGTGGAGTGTTTCACCCTGAAAGGATGAAATGATGCTCTGCCTTTGTAGTCAAGTTCAAACATAGGCCGTAAATAAATATGAGCCACTAATAAGCGTGACATAATTAATAATTTCAAACGATAAAGCACATTGAGTTACAAAATAACAGATAACAAAATTTATGAGCACGCAATAAAGTGGACCTGTTAGAACCCCTTTGACATTTGTCCCTTCAACAATAAATGATTATATTGTGTCCCATGCATTAAACAGTTCCATTTAACACAGATAATTTCCTATTTATATAAAATATAAGCAAACATGGCAGTGCTGCATTCTGTCACTTGTTGTATAAAAATTACTGAAATGGAGGGTTTGCTGGGGGTCAGCTGTGAGTGTCACGTTGTCGCACATGAAGGTGATGCACCTTATGAGATGACAGTGTGGTCTGAGATTGAGGTGCATGAATTAAATACCTATGTGCAACGTTGTCTTCTCCTATTTCGAGGCTTAAAGGAGATAACTGAGAATGAAAATGATCCAAATTGGGTGCCTACAGACGCGGCTCATTTTGCCTATGCTACGGTAGAACACGGTGAATTTGTCACTTTGTGAGCAAACAATTTAGGAGTTGGAAACCCTCCCCTGTACCAAAGGTCTATTAGAATCTACATCTCTTACCTCTGACATGCAGCACTACTTTCTGTCTCAGGATGTCTCTGTCCCTGTAGATGGTGCAGATGTAGCCTCCTGTGTCTCTCTCTGTGGGGTATTTCAGGGTCAGACTGAGGTCTCCAGTTCTCAGCAGGTCTTCGTTCATCTTTGCACGGCCACAGTAAAGGTTGTCTTGTTTTTTCAGGTGGTCACTTCTGTTTGCATGGACATGGACGATCTTGAGTTCTCGGTCAGAGCGAGTCCACTCCACTGTTGTGTCCTCAGGCAGGTCAGGTTTTGTTTTGCAGGGCAGGATGACAGAGTTTGACTCTTCCTCCACCTTCACCTCCACCTGTTGGTCTGAGAGGACAATAAACCACAATATCAGCTGTAAAAGCAGCAGCACACTTACAGATGGTAAGTGGAGCACAGCTGAGTATCTTGTGAATAAAATTTCATTCACACTAACTGGATGAAACGAGAGAGCTTTTTTTAGCTTTTAGTCCTAGAAACTAGAAGCTGTTAATAAATCTGTTTATAATGATAAGTTTGATTGCAGCTCCTTGAGTCTGTACAGCATCAACACACTTCCTATTGTTGTATTGTGCAGTCCAATTAGATCAGTGGTGTAAGCTTTGTTTCACTGTGGATGTAGCATTTTAAATGGTTTGAATCTAACCCTCCACATGCATTAAAGACTATTTAGGAAATGTTTCCTTTACTTTGACCTCTGACCTTTGTCTCCAGTACTGCCTTTGATCCGTAATTACAGCAGGTGTTGTGATTTGTTGCTGACCTTTGACCTTCAACTGTATATCTCTCAGCCTGCGTTCTGCTCTCCCATCACTGATGGAGCAGGTGTAGTTGCCGCTGTCAGTCTTTATTGGTTTTCTCACAGTGAGGCTGAAGTCTAAAGTGTCCAGAGCATCAGGCCTCATTGATGTGCGCCCGCTGTAACGCTGGTTTTGTCCTGTTATGTCATCTGTTTCTTCCTGTCTCACGTGGACAGATTTGGGATTGAGATCGTTGCGAGTCCATGTTACTGTGGGGTCCACAGGTATTAAACCTGAGTACTGACAGGGCAGCAGGACAGATCTTTCCCCCTCATTCACCTCCACCACCACCAAGGCATGCTGGGAAACTGAGGACACACAAACAAACAAAATATCTGCAGGTAAAGAAATCACAGCTTAATCTGAACATGTTTAATGTAGATGTATTCTGCTGTTAGTGTAGTTACACATGCTCATAGTTATAATGGAAATGTTAATGAATGTTGTGATGCATTCATGGAAAATTGTCTGCTCAGTTCAAAGAGGACGGGAAGCACAAACCTGCACGATCTCCTCCTGCTGCACTTCAACACATTAAAGAGAGAGAGATGAAAGAAAAGCTGATGATGAGAGCAGAGAGAGGAAGGTGTACTTACCGTGCAGGAGGATCACAAACACCACAAACATCTTCATGTTCCTGTCAAACTCAGAGACTCTTTAAAGCCAAACTAAAGTGAAAGAAGAAAATCCTCTGAGGAAACTCACTGAAACTGAAGTGAAGCCAAAGAAAAAGTCCAAATGAAATCCAAATAAAAGTCAGTA